CCCCAAAACCCCAAAACCCCAAAACCCCAAAACCCCAGAATATCGCTGAATGGTTGAATTTTTATTATTCAATTAAGTATTCGTATCAGTCAGCTCAGCTCCTTCGTAGAAGTCAGCTTCATTAGTCTTGGTATTATACGGTATCTCCCAAACATTATGTGCGCTTAAGAGTCCTTTCTCTTTCATTCTATTCCATATCTGTAAACAAGTAGAGACGTCCTCTTTGGTATACTCATTATCTCCCTTCGCTTCAGCGTCATGGAAGTCTTTCTGTATCTCTTTATATCAATTTAGGAGTTCATTCCTCACTCTGGCTATTTGGTGGACCCTAAACATTAAGCCTGAATGTTCAAAACCATCAGATGGCAATTTCATGTAGGCTCACTTACATATTTTTGAGTTTCTTGCAATTTCTGTAGGTTTTGTTCTTATACTCCAAGAAATTTTTAGTCGTTATCTCAGAGAATTCATAAGCTAAAAAGATGTCCTTAGCAGTCTCTACTTCTTTTTCAAAGTATTTCCTTTTACGTTTCTTTGCTTGAAGACACTGTGCATAGTCTTTCACTTTCATTTCGTTGAAGATAGCAGAGAAGGCTTTTGATCCTACTGATGCGATGTTGTTGATGATGTCTAGATGTTAGTAGAAAAGTACTGCTAAAGCACTGTTTGATGTAATTTATCCGGATTTCACTAGGAAGATTAAAGATAGAGAATACCTGCAATCTCGTACTTCTTCTACAGATTGTTCTATCATGGAAAACCTCACCTCTTCAGGCTCTTTCTTTAAATTCTTCTTCATAGTATTATACAAGTAGTTCTCACTAATTTGAAGAGCATGCTTCTGGTTGGACTCAGTACAGTGAGAGGCTTGCTCGGAAATTTTAGAAGGGATGTGAACAACTCTTTGTCTAAGCTCGATATTTTCTTCCTTTAAGGCTTCTATCTGCATCTGGAGCTGTTTTATCTTGGCTTCTAATCCAGAATAATATTCCTTCTTTCTTCTCCTGTGATCTCTTGATCTCTCTTTGCTGCTCTTGATTTTGGACTGCAAGGAAGAGGCTTTAGACTCCATATTAGCTGAAGAATATCGCTGAATGGTTGAATTTTTATTATTCAATTAAGTATTCGTATCAGGGGTTTTGGGGTTTTGGGGTTTTGGGGTTTTGGGG